TCTACGACATAGTCTCAAACAGATGCAGCATTTATCTTTCAAAGCTGTCCTAACGCGCGAGGCTGCTGTGCTCCCCAAGCTCCTGCGTCGCCCCTGGGGTGCCCGACGTTCCGTGGGTGCATCCCACCCCCCACGTTTTGGTGCCAGCCCAACAGAGACAGATCCTGCTGGAGCTGGGCCAGAGCCACGGGCTGGCCCAGCCCTCTCGGGAGAAATCATCTGCAGGAAGCCACACCTGAAGAGTTTCGGCTTTTTTTTGACTTCAAACTTTGTCTTTGGCTGGAAAAGAAGTGTTTCTTACTTCACTGTATGAAAATCACACTTTTCTTGAGGGAAGAGTACACAACAGACAGAACACTTTGGTTTCCCTGTGAAGAAACCTCAGGAAGATCTGCTGTGGTGAACCCAGAGCTCAGGTGTGGGAAGAAATGTGTGAAAGGAAAAGAGAAGGTGTTTTGAACATCTTCCTTCAAGGATACTGAGATATCATTGTAATATTCTTCAAAATTACTCCGAACTGAGGCAGATGGATGACCAAAATGCTTTGAAAGCCATTTTGATCCTCCCCTATTCTCTTAGTTGTTCTTCGGCCATGATCAATACTCACAATTCTGGTTTTGATGGGGCTTGGGATCGATGCAGTTTAACTCTGACAATAAAAAACATCCATTTATTTATTTATAGAAAACACGCACATTTATAGCATACCTGTCTATCTTAGCATCTACCGGTGCCTATGTAACCCTCCTCAGCTGGATCAGTAAGGCACATTGTACAGCCTGGCAGACAGTGAGGGACACAAGGAGGTGGAGTGACATGTTTATACACCTCATGACTCAGCAGTGGAAAAAGAAATGTGCAATTTTAATTCTGATCAGAATTTTAAACTATGAAAACTAACTACTTTTTGCACTTAGACTACTGACCTGAGGGCACTAAGGGACTATTCTTGCAGCTGATATCAGATCCTGCTCTCTGATGCATCTTTATAACTCAGCTGGTTATTTCTAGCTGCCCATGTAATTGTTAATATTGCTGGCAGCAAGTAGATATATACAACCTGTCCCCAAAAAAAGGAGGGGTATAAAACACACCTATTTGAAAATCATCTGATTTCTTTTCAATATTCTTTACAAAAAATGCCAATTCTGCACATGGTTTTCTGAGGTACTTCAATCCTATGACAACACTTAACATAAAAGACTCTGTGGATCAGGACTTGAGCCTGTTCTTGCAATTTTCTGACACTGTCCCTCAAGAGAGAACAAATATATCAGGTGTCCTACTTGAAAGGCAACAACTTGACACCACTGCATCTTGTGCTGCTCCTTATGGTGATGGACAACTAAGAATGGCTTAAAAATACAAAGCAAACAGCAAGAGTAAGTGGTTTCAAAATCAATACAAGAACGATCAAGTAGCAGAAGAGTACTTGTTATCTGTTCATCAAAATGATGTGAAAAGACATTCTGTGCATTCAGAATTTAATTTAGCTACTTGCTTTATCATCATAAACACTCATTTCAATATGGGTAATAATTATTTTTTCTTCCCAAACATGAATAATATATAATTGCTGGTATTTTGGAGGAGACAAGGTCTTTACCTTTATCCATCAGGGTAATTTATCATTGTCTTTCTTTTTCTTCTGCAGTGGTGAGAGAGCTTGTCAGCTCAGCTTGTTCTTAAAAAGCTGGAGTGTAATTCAATAATAAATTCACTCAAAGGCTAGCTGTCACGAGGCATTCATTTATTTGTATCCATTAGGTGATCTGCACTGCTGTTCTCTCTAAAGGATAGCTAAGCTGCGTTTCTGAAACCCAGGAAATATCTTGCATGGATGTTCAGTCATCTCCTCCACACTGCTGTCACTTCTGCACAGGCCATAGCAGCGTGCAGATGTGTTGTGGTTCCCCCAGGGGTGATAATCAGCCGGCCATGACCTGGTAAAGCCCTGAGGAGTAGCCTGTGGTTCCTGACCTGAACGATGAGTGTGCTCCGCACGACATCAGACACGCAGGACACAGAGGTCCACGTCACCTCTGTGTTGCCTGCTCATGGGGTGCTGCTCACAGCGTGTGGCATGGATCCACCTCCAGTCCCACCCCGTGATGATGGCGGAGCCAGGACAGAAAGACGTAGGATGTTCCATGCCCAGCAATCTACAGTCAGATCTACACCAAGAAGGAGACGGCTTCATGAATCACAGCAGCAGCAATGGAAGGAGAGGGCTGCCCTGAGTCAGGATGCTGGAGCCCTCCATCAGAACAGAAAAGTTTCCCGCCCTCCCTTCTGTTGGACAAGCTATTAAGCCAGCAGCTGGAAGGAGGGATGAAAATGCTTCATCTTGCCCCCAGCTGCTGCTGTGATCTTCACGGAGACACCGAGCAGTTCCATGGATAAGAGGGATATTATCACCTGTCTGTCGTAAAAGCAACTGGAGGAGATTCAACAGCGAGAACGCTACTGAAGAAACGGCACATCCACATGGTCAATCTCACCTGCCCAGACTGACTGGGTCCCAAACAGTCCCAGCCCACGCTCCTCCGCAGAGCGGTCGCTGTCTGACCACTGCGGAAGCACTGCCATTGCCAGGGTGACAACAGACAGCTATTTAAAGGTTCAGCTACCTAGGTGGTGAAAACAGACAATCAAAACTACGAAGAGAAGCCAAGTGAGCAGAAAACACTTGCAATGGTTGAGTTTATCCAGAACTATAGGATCTTTAAGAACTAACAGGAGCGCCTGGTGTCTTTTAAGATCCCAAAAAGAGTAATGTCATTTTTAGCAACCCAACAGACCGATAAGCCTGGACTGTGTGCTGTGGTGCTGTCTCGGGGGAAAATATGCCTTCTGCTGAGGTCCTTCACTGCTACTTGAAACTGCTCTTGTGATGAGTCAAGATATTTAACTTGAGAGATGCAATACAATCACAGCTTGAGGTGACATATCTGTAGACCATATTTAGTGATACACACCCTGTGCTGATATTTTAAGAACGGCAACCTCATAAATCATTGCTATCTCTGCATAATTCTTCATGTTAACTTAAACGGAACGAGGAGCCCCATTTATTAGTTCCACTGCAGTTAATGAAAAGCAATCATTAAAACCCTCCCTATTGATCTGAATCTTTGCATTCCCTCACTCTAGTAATCTATACGCCAGATAAACATTTCTCCTAGCAGGTGCTCCTTTTGAATCCCAAATCTTTCTTTAGCAGGACGTATACAGATGGTTAGTAATTCCTTCCTACATAGAGATCTGTCATCGGATCTGTGGAACGCATGTAGCTCTTGTAGGAGTTAATGTGACCCCAAATGACACAGCCTTTCTGTGGGTCCTCTGCTGGCACTCCCAGAAGAAAACGCAGTGTGTAAATGAGAAATTACCATTATTTTTCCCCCACCTCTGTATGCTGCTGAATGCAAGCAGCCTTTAAAGAGAGGTTTCAATATTTTTAAATCACACAGGTATGAAGACTCCTAGAGTTCTTCATTGTATGGAGAAGTTTGTTAAACATGGACACATGTCTAACAGAACTCTCTGCCTATCAGAATGGATACATGTGGACCTGATACCAGAGTCCTCTGTGGAAAGGCTTCTGACTGTGAGCTCAGCTGAGGAATTGCAACCCTAAATATATCAGAAAAATGAAATTGTGTATATAATCTATTTTATATTCCAAAGCCTGATTTTACAGCAACACATCACAACAACTGACAGCAGAGCATTCGCTGTGCTAACATTTAGTCCAGAGTCTGGACTGCTCCATATCCACAACCTGAAATCTTCAGAATGCTGACAAAGTGTAACAGTTGGTGACATAATGAGTATTTGGCCTTAATCTGAACCACTCCTGTCAGTTTTCTTGGACTCTGAAGGGCTTGGCAGCAAGACAAATCAGGGCAACTATCACATCAGGCCAACTCCTTGACACTGGTGTGCTTCTAAGTGGTTCATGTCTGAGGTCAGCCTGTAGACCACTGGAGATGGCAATACATGGGAGATGGTACCCAAGGAATGTTGGCAATATCCGTTCATGGAAAAGCATTAGGTCAGACCCAGAAGGGCCTGAGGGGCCTGCTGAGATGCAAGTGCTGAAATAAAATACTCACACAAACACCAGAGTTGTATATTTTTAGCGCAAACCTATTCACTCCTGTGTGTGGGAAAGCTGAAAGTAAACAGTTAATGACTGGGTGGAATTCAGCAGAGTCCAAACCTAAGTGTTGAGAACCACCTCCTGGCTCAGGGTCACCACCTCTGAAAGGCAACATTCAGGGCAGACACTGAATGATCTAAGAATCTGACACCCCAGGATATGTATTATGGTGTCCTGCTATAAGCACATGACTTTAAAGGGATGACCTCCCCTGACAGCCAGGAATGTACTTAAACAAATGGCTGAGATGCAGTCACAGAAGTGAACTGTATAATATTTCTTTGCCAGTTCCTGTTGCTTGATGATTGCAGTGATAAAGAATGTCTCAGTATTAAAACCAACCTATATTCAAGTGATCATTCATATTGGAAATCACTCTAATAGCCCTCCCTAGGCTGTAAGATTTTCTCCAGTGCTTTTGAGGTCTCTAATAGTCACACTGTAGACTGCAAATACCATTCTACTTTCCCTCTCTTTTGGCTCTGTCAGTGGAAGAAGGTCTGCCATTGGTGTTTACAAGGTACTTCTGGAAAGTGTCAGTCACTTGAACTAGAAGAGCCCTGCTGAATGGGTGGCTTTTATTCCTTGAAATAAGAGAAGGCAGGAAAGATGCAACAGCCCATGAGCACTGGGAGAGAAGCATCATGTCTTACTGCCTGGCAGGACATTGCAGATGAGGAGACAGTCAGCAGAATTACATCAGCCACCATATCATTAGATATCTACTTCCCTCAGACAATTTCCAAGTTCTGCATCTTGCTGTCATTCAATGTCTTAAAATGGCCAAGTGGCTTATGCTTTACCTCTTACGGAATCAAAGCCAAAATTCCCTTACCCTCCTTCAAAAGGATTGTCTCCTGGGATGACATGGGTGCTGTCCTTGCCGATCAGGAACTTGATCCGGTCGTAGAAGGAGTGCAAGCTCTGCTGGGAGACGGGGGCTTGTGTCTCCTGGATGATATCCAAGGGGTCCGGGGAGCCCAGGCACAGCGCATTGATGTGGCACAGGGGCTGCAAGCAGCAGTCGGGGTCCATGCAATCCACCAGGCCATCTGCAGAAGGGTAAGGAAGATTTTAAAGCAATGGTAACGTGGAGGGTTGTAGACTTCAGGGTGTAAGAACTCTGCAGTACACACAACAGAGAAATGTGAATTTACCCCTACACAGAATAAGGCATGTTCCCTTAAATCCCCAGTAAAGACCTCAAAGATTCATTTAAGTAACATTAATGTGCACTAATACGTAATATATGAAAACACACACATACACATGAGATGAGACCCTAAAAAATATCGTCTTTGAGGTTAATTCTGGGGTATGCCATTTCACATCTCAGTCAGGTAACTCCAGAGCCCACAAAGGTGTTTTTTTCCCTGTTAGTATACAAATGACTTCTGTACACTGGTCCTGTTCCCTGTACAAATCATGGGCACATTGCATCGTACCAAAGCTATCAGAGTTGCTTTCAGCAGGAGTAAACAGTGAACAAAGCCATGGTATCTACCATGGGTACAGAGAGATCTGTACATGCAACCCACTCAAGATTCTGGCTAGATAGATGAGCTAGTAAGGGAGATTTTGCTGGGAAGGTTCGGTCTCTTTTGCTCTTTGTCACTTTTATTCCATGCAGACACAGAGTAACAGATGACCTTAAACACTCGGGATATAAATCTTGTACTTTCAGCACTGCTAAATTAGTAATAACAACAATAAAAGCAGTGGACACAGATGAGAAAAGCTTGCCGGGCGTACTCTAGTAAAATGAGGGTTTGCATATCTGTCAAGTCATCAAACGCACAGACAATACTGCTTCCCCTCCCACCACCACAGCAGCATTACCCCTGTTCATTTTGAGATGCCACTGTTCATTGCAAACAGCTTAGTAAAAAGCGATGACAGGAAAGGAAATACAAAAAAAAAAGCTCAGAAGAGGTTTGATGAAGCATCACATTTAGAAATAAAAGTTGTTAGCAGGTAGTAGAGATGGATCTTTAAATCAGATAAGGGAACGGGATGTTTTTGTTCTGGGGTAATGGGATACGGAGCCCTTCACTTCCAACTCATCAGTTCAAGCAAGACAGTTTGATAGGGAATGAAAATTGTTACCATGTGATGGCTGTTCAAAGACCTATGTGAAATGAGTGGTTGGTCTCAGTGTAGTTGCTGGGAGCTCCATATATCAGAGAAACCACCTTTACACTAGCATCCTACTCATGATTTCAGGCATGAAATGAATGTGCTTGGAGAGTAACACTGTCCTGAGAGGTAGGTCTCTCCCGAAGGGGGATGAGATTTGGAGTTGTCAGGATAATGTATTTTTTATTTCAAAGAAACAGTAAATTAAAACAAGACAGTTTGTCGTTATTACAGATTGTGAGCTTCAGTTTCATTCCAGTTATACCAGTATGAAATAGAAGTCCTTACACTAATGTTACTGGCATAACTTTGAGTTTACTGTAATACAAATAGGATGAGAATCTGATCTGTTATTATTGCTCTAGTACTTATGCTGGCTTACATGCCATGGACTTGGATTCTCTTGAGTTATACCTGTTCCATTCTTGGAAGATTTTAGTGCCATAAAACATCACTGTCAACATCATTTCATGTGGTTACTCACACAGAGAAAACCGAACAAAAAGCCTGTTCACTGTTCCCAAAGCTTCCCGTCTATATGTGGGTCAAAGTGCAATGAATATCTGCTCCATGTAGACGTGCACACACACACACACACACTGAGTCATTTTCACAAGTGCTCTGCACCTGCCATTAATGATAATGGGAGCTGTGTTAGATTAGCAAAAGTGCTTTTGAAAATCCCATCCATTATCCTTACCTCTGTCTGTTCTGATATCTCTACATCTTTATAACTCCTTGCAAAATTGCCACAAAAATTTATCAGCTCAGGCACAAAACCTACCCATCTGCCTTTTCTCTTGATGACTAGTGATAATGAAAAAGAACTAATTACGTTTTATTTGCCCATTAAAAAAAAATGACTTGCTGCAGACGATTAGGCCAGTAGGATTCTGGAAGGTCAAATCTCAGACAGAATTTGAGAGACCGTTCACAGAATGAAGACCTGCATAGATGAGATATGCTCATCCATAGGCTACCCAAGAAAATAAAAAAAAGGAAAAGACAGAAAAAAAACCCCTAACAAACCAGCATTGTTACTGTATTGACTAGAGTTTCAAGCAAGATAAAATGTTGTCATTTTCTTCCACACATTAATAATGTTTTCTAAGGCTAAGGACACTCTGCTGAGAGGACAGTAAACCAGCTGTACCATACCTCTTCATTACCCTGCCTTTATTCCAGGCATCAGAAATGTGTTTTGGGACCTGAAACTGCAATATAGCAAGGAAATATGTTGGTTTTTTTTTTTTTGTTTTTTTTTTTTTTTTTCAGGAAACGGTAGATAAATGTTTGACGAACAGATGCAGAGGACAATGTTTTGTACAGGTGGGAATGCTGAGGCCTCATCTGCACATATGACTTTCAACTAATGTGTTCCAGGACTGTACGGAATAAGCTGGGGGTAATTACACCAGAGAGGTTGTCTTAAAGTCACGAAGGTCTTCAAGAGCTGAAATGGGGTTTAGCTACTTAACTCCCTCCAATAGCAACAGCAGTCACAGGGCGAAGCATTTCTTTCACTTAGAAAATGTAAAGAACATTTTTGTCTGAGCCATGGAGAATAGCAAGGCTTAAGGTACAAGCCAGATCATAAACAGTGACACCTCCATCTGAATATTGTTTTCTTGTGGTTTTCTTATTGTACAGTCTACAAGTGATCCAAGTGGTGCCCTGCAGTGAATTGTAAGAAGATGTAATGAAACTGTACACAGCTATGACTTCTCATGCCCTGACATCTCTCACTGGATCCATCAGAAGAGTGAGAATGCAGCGACATTTGCCAGAAGCTCCCTACCCGTGAAGATTAAGGTGTTCAGGGAGCTGCATGGATTCATAGAAAATAAAAACAGAGCAAAATAAAACATATGCTTTAATGGTCCAAATAAACAAACAGAAAAATAATGTGGGAAGTCAGCACCAGCAGCAAAGGAAAATATAGCAGGGTGTGATCCCACAGAACAATATGAAGTCATAATACAAAACACCTTTGAAATTTATAAAGCATAAAGGTGAACCTTCCTTAGAACTTTCTGCAAAATCTTCAGAGAGAGGTAACGGAAGGAGATGATCATGGGACCAGTGGCTTCTGCACCCCAAGTTTTGCAGCAGCCAAGCCACAGAGACCCAGGATCTGTGTGTAGATTCTTAACTCTGGTAGCTCCCAGAGCACAGCAGGTTCGCAGCTATGGTCATGCTTATACAACTTTGGGTTATAAAAAGTGGCACCTCCCTTACTCTACATATAGCCATAACGTGACCATGGCACTTCAGACCTGAGACCAAACATGTATATGAATTATCTCCATGCAAGGTTGAAAGAGGGATTACAATAATTCATGTGCTTTAAGGTCAAAGAGACTACTATGATCAGCTTGTCTGACTTCTTATATACACAGATTGTTCATTTTTTTTCCCCCTCAGAACTGGATTAAAGCCTGTCTTTTAGAAAGATATCTCATATATCAAAGACAGCTGATTACAGTGAGTCCACCACTTCCTCCGGTAAGCTGTTCAAATGCTTAATTACTGCCAGGAAACCGCATCTTATTTCAAGGTTGAATTTGTCTAACTCCAGTACCCCACCATTGGAGTTTGTGTTGCTTTTGTCTGCAAGGTTACCAATGTTTCCTTCTGCCCTGCATACTCTGATGTCTTTTCCAAGCGCAAGTCCCTCCACAGAGAACAACAATCCATTCCAAACCTTTTCTCTGAACAGCTCAGGAAGATTAAACTTCCCATCATCGGGTTTGTTTTCCAGCCACTGGATTCGTGTGTGTGTGTGCATGTGGCATTCTTTTATCTCTTTCCAGTAATTTCACATATTCTGTTATGTGTGAGCACCAACACTGGACAGAGAACTGTGGCAGAAATATTGGCTACAGAAGAGAGACCACTTCCCAAGTTTGGAGTTTTTATACTCTAAGGTTCGCAGTAGCCTTTTAGCAACGGCCTTGTACTAAGAACTCATGTTGAGACAATTATCTCCAGTGACCTCTAAATCCTGTTCTGAGTCATTGCTTTTCAAGAATCTCCCAACCTGTAAGTATAACATTCTTTCTTTGTTCCCAGGCGTATTATCTTGCAATTTGCTGCCTTAACACACATTTTCCTTGAGTGTGACATTGTAGTGATGTGAGTCAGATCACTCTGTATCAAAATGATCTGGGTATGCTATTTGCCACCATATCAAGCTTTAGGTGACCTGAAGATTTTACCAGGAGAGATTTAAACTGCATTCTAAGACAATGATGAAAATGCTGAATAGGGTTGGATACAACATCCAGTTCCAAGGGATTCCTTCAGAAACAGCTTCAATCATAGATGCCTTTCAATTAATAAATTAATTTGGAGATCTGTCACTGAGCTGTATTTTAAGCCATCTCTGGTGTTACTTATAATTTCCACGTAATGAGAGTTTTTACGTCCTTCAGACATGTGATGCCTCCTATATGGATGCACGTGTCCTTTTGGCAGTCCTTCCAAAAATAAAACTCTTTTGTCACACCTCCTTCATATAAAGCCATGAAATAAATACCCTTTACAATTTTAGTGAATCAAATCACTGACTTTGTGAAAAGGGAGCCATTGGCAAGACGTTGCCACATCTGGTAAATAATGTGATCAATGATTTGCATCTTCCACTAAGACTCATGTAATCAGAATAAGTAAGACTGGATAGGAGGTCATCTGGTGAGCCCTGTCTCATTCCCTTCAGAGAGGGACAGACAGGAAGGAGAATGAACTGGGTTCAGCAGAAAACCTTCCTTTTCTGCCACTGAGAATAAAGCCGCTGTGATTTATTCAGCTAACATTACTGTTTAGGGGACCAAGTCCACTTCGATCAGACAATCTGCACTCTGTACACCACTAGATTGGTTTTACTTTGGGATTACTGCATCTGGCTTGTATCTGG